TCGTCTCTTGTGGGACCAGCAGGGCCTGATGGGGGACGGAGCGTCGGAATAATGAGGGTACATTCAAACAGACAGATACATGTGGGAAAAGACTGGGATTTCTAATCCATCTCTATGTCACTGCACTGTGGAAAACAATATGTCATAGGCTTCTTCCCTCTGCATAACAAGCTGCTGCCAAACGTCTTTCAGCCTCTGGGAGCGGGTGGCGGTGGAGATCTCCTGCTGACACCTGTAATCCACCACAGCGAAAACACACACCCAGGACGGAGGCTGCCTGAGTGAGACTCGTGGAACAGCTCGTGGAACTGTTGCCTGTGAGCACTGATAGTTGACTGTCAGACATTTGTGTATTAGAAAAGGGTAAACTGAATCAGTGACATGTGATAACCTGCTCTCTAGCCCCACCCTCAGACCACATCATGTCCAAATTACCCCTTTTCAACTTCCAGCTGGAACAGAGATGGAGACTTTTCTGTCAATATCCATCAGAACTGAGGCAAGAAGAAGCTTATGCCGCCGGTTCAAACTGGTTCACAAAACCCATCCTTGCACAATTCCCTGCTCATCTTTGATTTAAATCTCCACTCGGCCAAATGAGGAGTCGCTGGCAGCTGACAACAGGACACATCTGATGTTGGCGGGCAACAAAGGTCACAAACAAACACGACCGTGCACCAGAGGGGAAGTGTGTCCTGTCCTTGTTTTTGTAAACCTGCGATTACAAAAATAACACCTGAAAATACGTCAACATTTTCAGAGCAGCCCACTTCACTTTAACAAAGTGGTGTTCTGTGTTTGAAATGTGCTCTCAGAACTCAAACACGTTCAAGTGTGTGCTTCCTTCAGTTCCTCCCCTGAAGAGCCAGTTGGCTGCAGATGCTCCATGTTTGCTCTGAGCTAACAGACCCTCCCGCGGGAGGAGGCATTCACTGACAAGTCCTGATGCCTCCGTTGGACACAGCGCACCACATTCCTACAGAAGGTGGAGGAGCCAGTGGGGTGAAGGCTTGAAGGGTGGGACATCCTGAAATGTCTTGGAGAATCAGGAAAAATATTTCCTCCGCCTGACGCTGGTGTTCGATTGAGTTAAAAGCTAAGTGTAAATGCACATGTCGGGCGCATGCACCAGTGACGGCCTGCTGGATTTAATCTGGGCAGAATATTCCTGACAAACCTTTTCCATTTCCACCTCTGCTGTTATGCAAAATTAAGCCGTTAGTTGAAGGAAATGGAAAAGGAAACAAAAAAAAAACAAGTCACCTCACTAAGTAAAGTCTGCATGAAAAAACAGCTCACCTTTATTCCGAGTGTCTCGTGCACAGCACTGGATTCAGCCGCACGGCTGGTCCTGCCTCTGATCTGGGACATCTGAAGATACAGGGAGGCCTGAGGAGGAGGGAGACCAGACCATAGACTCACTGTACATAACACACAGTCAAACACTTGGGACAGAACTCAAGGTCAAAACAGATATGAATAAAAAAGGGGATATATAACAGTTACTTTGTCAGAGTAAAAAAACTGTTCAACAAAATTCTTCATGGTCTGTTCCATTCTCGAGGCTGACCTGAGACTTGTGTCCACGGTTAACAAAGGTACAGACTGGATTGTAGGCTCCGGTCCCACAGATGTACAGCTGAGTGCGATTCCACGGCTCGATCAGACGGATGAAGTTTGCACACTCCTCCTGAAGCAGACATAAAGGTTGAATAAAATCTTATTATATATATATATTTTTTTGTTTGTAGTATTATTTTTTTCAATGCTTTTGTAATAGGAAATACAAAACTTTTTTCAACACACCTATGAACATTTGGGGATGAGATTTTTTAATTAAATAATTTAAGGTCAAGATGTTTTTTCTGTTCAGCATCAAACCAAAGATCAACTGAGAATTAAATCAATATTTAAAACTCATATATGATTTAACTTCTTTTCAAACATCATGACCATGTTTGTGGGTTTCTTGAATTTTAATCAAATGCATTGTATTTCTTAATATTTCAGTTTTATTGTTTGAAACTCACGTTGGTGTCCTTCCCACTCACAAGGCACTCCATCCTTCTTCTCTCCGACACTGGCCAGTGGATCTGTGAGCAGAGGATTTGAACAAATGTCATGGTTATTTCCCAGCCTGCGTTACATCACTGACAGTTATGAGGTGTCATGGTCACTGGTGTGACAGATATTATTCCTCTGAGGGCTGTTGAGAAGCCGTGAAAAAGAAAAAGTGAATTCCACCCAACACTAACTGTGAGCCAGTCGTCTCTGCTGATAACAGGACAAGAGAAGAGGACATGTTGGCCCAGGGGCAGATGATGTAACAGGGCTTTTTTACATCCCAGTGTAACGTCACATCAGGGGCCACGGCTTGAGGTAACTGAACAAAGGTCTTACAATATGTGGGTCTTTGTTGATGTCGTGCAGGTCCAGGGACAGGATGTGATCCTTGCTGCCCACGTACATGCGGTCGTGGTCCTCGTCCATCCGCAGGATTCTGTAGTCTGACGTGTTGATGAGGAAGGCGAAGTGATGAGCGGTTCCAGTAGATCTCAGCTCTGTTTGACAAAGATGAAAAGGTCCATTAATGACAGCTGTGCTGCACAAACGCACACACACACACACACACATAATATGCCCACACATGCACGAACACATGCCACATTCCCGCTGCCCCTCCTTCACCNNACTCATATGGACTTATCTGATGGTTTTCCACCGACACACTTGTAACTTAACACCACACATTAGAGACAAGTGCGACTGAGTGTCTGTCACAGTGTGTTGATGGCTTCATCCCACCAGGGTGGATCACAGACCTGGAACACAGGTCTTTGGTTTTCTACAGGCTTCAAACTGACAGAGAAGTGTTACAGTACCAGAGGTACCAGAGGTCAAACCATGAAGTGAAGTGTTACAGTACTGTACCAGAGGTCAAACCATGAAGTGAAGTGTTACAGTACTGTACCAGAGGTCAAACCATGAAGTGAAGTGTTACAGTACTGTACCAGAGGTCAAACCATGAGGTGAAGTGTTACAGCACTGTACCAGAGGTCAAACCATGAGGTGAAGTGTTACAAAAGCCTACGGAATCACTGACCCCTGTCGATGACCTCTGCACCAGAGAATCTCCCATCATCCTACAGATGTAGTATTTGCTGTACACGCTGTGTTTACTACACACTTTATATCCATTGTAGGGCAACGTCAGTGAAGATGAATTTAGAACCGTCGCTCCTGTTTGGACACCTCCTGTAGAAGGTTAGTGGAGTGTGGCTGTGGCTGCCAACACAATACAGTCAACATGTTGGCTCATGTCATGGAGAAACCCAATCTTCCTCCAGCTCCGTGCTGGAGTGTTTGTTTGATACGTCCTTCCTGGTTCAACAACCATGTATGAGAGGAGCAGAGGGGCCACGGCCTCACCCTGGACAAACACACTCCCCTACCATGTAAAGGGAGGTGGTGCACAAATACTGCTGCACTGGTTCAGAGGTTTCAATTCAACAAAAGTCTAATGTCACTGCTGAGCTTCGTTCAGCGACCACAGACCACAGGGAGTCAAACAGGGAAACACTCTGTGGTTCCACCCAGATGTTTGATGTCGTGGTGGGGGAGAAAAGCCAGAGGAACTGCTGTCAAAAACAGTTACCTTTGTTTTACTGTTTACATACCCTCCAACAGACCGCAGCGCCCGTGTGTGGTCAACAGAGAGGAAATGAGAGACGTGGTAGAACATTACAACCGGCAACATATTAATGAATTAAAGTAAAATAAATATTATTGGTCCTTCTAAATGCAGAGCCATAATGACGCTCAGAAAGTTTCCAGGTTCTGCTCAGGAGGTAATCACTGACACACACACACACACACACTCTTTGTGAGGAATTATTTTAGATGGAATACATTCCCTAACCTTAAGGTTCTCAAATTAATAGCTGAGCCTAACTCCAAACTAAATGTTGAAACTCAAAATGTCAGTGTGGACCTGGAAAGGGCCCTAAAACTAAAACTAAAACTAAAACTCACATGACCAACGCTTGTCTTCATTCACCATCAGATGAAGTCAGTCTGACTTAAATACAGCCGCAGGTTAAGTCAATAATGACTGGATCAGATTTGATCATATTTAGAGCAGAGGAGGGGTCACAGACTGACTGACATGTGGTCAGGACCCTGGAATTATTTATGTTGGAGATCTTAGTTGAAGGATGAGTCCCAGTCACTCTGAGTGTGTGTGTGTGTGTGTGTGTTTATAGTATGTGTGAGTGTACAGAATGAGCCAGGATGACAACAAACGGTTACACACACAAACACTCAAAAATACCCGTGTGTCATGGATGCCTTGTGTTTGTTATCAGAGTGAAGCATCCGTCAGCTGACCAGTTTATATCCAAGGTGACACAATGTCAGGCCTGCAAATGAAAACCAAGGCTCTAATTTCCACAGCAGTTTAGTGGTCGGACATGAAGACGTTTCACCTCTTCTGAATCAGACTCCATCGTCTTTCCCTGAGGAAGAGGCTCAGTCTGAGAGGGAGATCATTCCACCACATTTTACTGCTGTCCACAGACACAACTATATTTCTACCGACCACAAACGTAAACGTTAAATACTCCGAGCGTACACGCTGTTGTCAGTACTGAGTACAACCACATTATTCTGGATTAACAAACCCTTCCTGAGATTTAGAGGCTGAGACCATGGTCCAGGTTTGACTGTTGGAGGTGGATAAGACCAACGTGCTGCGTATGGTTCAGGTGGGGGAGACGACGGGGGAGGCACCTACACAGCAAAGGCTTTGTTCCTGTTTCCCTCGGTGGAATGTCAATGGTTCTATTAAAGGTGAAAGTAAGACGGCGAGAGAACCTGATCCTGCACTCAGTGTCTCTGCCTCACACTCGTTCACTTACTTCATATGTCTCTAGCTCCTTCTAGCTCCCCCATCCTTCCCCATCCCTCGGGGACAGAAGTGGGGGTCAGTGTGTAGGATCTTTCTTTGTTGGTTCATTTTCCATCTGTGTCCCACACGTGCATGAGAACGGACCGGTGACAGTGGACAGAACAAAAACCCACTGGTGGAGACGTGGGCCTTCCACAGCCTGCCGAACCTGCACCGTCCTCCCCCCTCTCTCCCCCAACATCTCATGGTACAGTCCTGCTGGATAACATTCCCGGTGTCACTTCCCACAATTCATGCCTCTTCAAGGATGTGTATATGTTCGGTGTCAGCTGAGTCCTTTACTCTTTACTGGATTAAAAATAGGATTAAAGATATTCAACTGCAGCTCTCAAAGTGTGAGGAGTGTCTCTGTGGTCAGAGCACTTTAGTTCAGACAGAAAATAGGGGAAAAGAAAGCTCTAAACTCTCTAACTGAGATGAGAATGGACAAATGGATGGATTTCCTTTGGAAGTACAATGATTATTTAAAAGTTGGAATTTTCATTGGACATCAATGTTGGTCATAGTTTTTAATAGAAAACTGATTATTTTCTTTATCTTTTAACACTCGAATACTCAAACAATAGAAATCAGGGCTCCCCCTGGAGGCAGGCTTGTGTCTTGAACCCCTGCTACACAGTACACATTCCACAGTTTAGTCCTGTGTCAAATGAGTTTTTTGTTTTGTGGTAAACTCTTTTTCCACATAAAATGACAAATCAGTGCAATGTTGCCACTGTGGGACATATAGGACCCTCCCTCCCTCTGTGGGGGGGCGCCCCTCACTCTGGGAACCACTGTGCTTAACCATTAACTGCTGCAGTGAAGTTGAAGTTGTAGCTGATATTGGAGTATAATAATAGTACTTGTATTTAGAACTACTGCATGTGTCCCACTGTCCCCACAGCTGGTTCTATAGACCATTAAACATTCGAACACATCCCTGTGTTCTCCTCCATTCTAATGATGTATAGTAAGTAGAAGGGGGAGACATGCCTCACTGTCAGAGGGAACACCTCCTCCTCTCCTCCTACTCCCTCTCCTCCTGGGAGGATATTTGGCTGCTGACACTGATCTCTGGGGCTGCAGACCTGCATGTTATTGCATATTTCTCCATCTTAAATTAATAGCCAGAGGGTTTACTTTAGAAATATGTTTGGACAGGAAAATCTACCTGGCACACGGTGGATTCTCAAAATCTCATCTCCAGAAATGTGAAACCAGCTAACGAGCCACCGTTTGCCCGTGTGGAACGATTTCTCACCCGCTGTGACAACCCTCAAACATGGGCCGGTGCTTTATCTGTCTGTCAGGTGTTAATGCACCCGACCCTGTGCTTGAGTAACATTAGAACTTCCTCCCATTAAAGAACTCTAAGTGTGATTTAGGAGTGCGTCCAACACAGAAGTTCTCTGGTGACACATGGTGATGAGGAGGAGGAAGGAATAATAAATCCAGGGGATAATCCTGAGTTCAACAACTACAGTACACTGTCACTGAAGACTGCAGAACACACTACAGTAGATAGGGGGCACTGATACGGCTGCTGCTCCCCCACCACATATTTCTTTGCTTACAAATTGGGAAAATTAACAGTGGTGAACACTGACAGTTCAGAGCGTGTTCCTGCTTGATGGCTGCACTGATATCTGCTCAGTATAACTGT